ATTTGGCGTTTTGTCATTTGTAGAGAGAGAACTGGTGTGAATAGCATCTACGTTTAACTGTTTGCAACCAGTGTGCACATCTACAATCCGCCAGGCTGGAATCGAACCTCAGACATTCGGTCTCACATGCGAATGTATAACCATCAGAACACTGAGTCTGAATGCTATAGTTCAATCTGTGACTGAGAACAATATTCCAAATGTTATGACATTTTAAATCAATACACTTACTTTTCTCGTTCTCGTTTTGATTACTTCCTGTAGATTTTTCTGGAAAGATGAGTGAGTATGTAGAAAAACCAAATTATAACAGATGAACTGTTCCAAGTGTAACTGTGCCTAAATCGATGCCGATTCCATTGTACACAAGGATATTGATCAGTACATTTATTTGCATACTGCTGCTAGTCTCACATCGAAATTATACATTCTGAAATCGAATGAAGATGGATTAGGAAATTATCACTTGAACTTATGATGACATGAATCAGTGAATGAAATACTGTTTCATCGTCGAACACGTTCATGTGTGTGCAAACTTGATCAACTGTTGATGTGGTATTCGAACGCGTTATTTCAATGAACAGTACATATTTGTGTGAATCCGCGATTTAACGATACATCAACTTCACGTGTATTCGCTAACGCTTCCACAAGTCCTACCTTAATGAGTGAATGAACAAGTGCATGCTGTCAAAGCGACTAAGAACAGAGGATTTGATTGTGACAGGCGGTCCCTTTTGGAATGATCTCGTTTGACGGAAGTGTTGTCAGACTGTCTACCGGTAAATGCAGACTGAGCTTATTTCTTCGTGAATGAAAAAGTGTCCCAATCTTGTTTCGAAAATCGTTTGAGGTGAACAAGAACAGGTCTGCTTTAAAATGAAAGTGTCTTCAACATTCCTAGGCAACGATATAAGTGCATTATGAAAAACGCGTAAACCCAATCATGAGGGTGGAATATCTTTCTCTAGGCGCGCAAAATATTTCGGTTGGGAAGCTTCCAAAGTTAAATACTCCAGGAGATCTACTGGGGCTACTTTTGATCCCATGAGCCAATAAAGTAGAAGTGTTCTTCATGCGATTGGCGACTCAGTAACGTCGATAACCTAACTTGCTACAACGATGCTTACCAGGAAGAATAATTTAAACCATTTAAACTCTACCCTGGGAGTTAGAAGATCTTCATTTAGCAGAATTATGACGTCCCAAGAAGAAAGCCGGGTTTTCTCGGAAGTCATAAAGTCAATGCCGCTTCTGATAGCCAGCACAAGGTCATCACTCTCACTGGTCCACAAAATGAAAATGAAACTAATAAACTTTTCGACTACAGGGCGGAATTCATTACAACAGTTACATACGGCTCTTCTTTGCAATACTTTTAATAATCTGGCTCTTCTATACCACACACAACAACAAATGCAGGAGAAAACAACCGGTGAAGCATCAGCCTTAGTAGCACAACGTCTCATCATACACAGTTGAAAAGGTAAGACCCACCAATAAAGCACAACATGCACCAACAAATCGTACAAGCTTATTTTAGGATATTCATCTAGTATCTTAAGAGAATAATTGGTCAATTCTTATTTGTTAATTGCTACTGATCAATTTTATGTTCGCACTAGAAATCAATGTCACGTGCTCCAATGTTGTTTCTTATTGGTTGTCCTGACTATCAATGTCACTTCAAATGTTGCTTCGTATTGGTCGTCTTAACTGTCAACGTCACAGACTTTGATGCTGTTTCCTTATCGACCTAAATGTATTAATACGAATTATCTGTAACGTTTAGTGGACCGGACCCGGACCCGGAACCCTAGTCTGGGATGCTTATTCTCTTCTGGACTCGGAACTCATACTTTCTGGAAGCGTGTAGAATACAGGTTCTTCTTCACGTCAAGTCTTCATCTTTCACTTAATTGGGGTTGGGACAATCGGATTAGAGTAGAATGAAGTGTCGCCGGATCAATGTTAGGCTAGTCTCTAGGTATGCTTCAACTATGACGAGTTTACCTTAGTCGAATAACCAGAACAAAACAATGAAACAGCGTCCAGGTAGGTCACTGTGATCCTATGACCAAATTGTGTCAGCGAGAAGTCTTGATATAGTGTAGAAATTGTATTCTACAAACACCCAGCAAGCACACAATGAATCCAAGCACTGAAATTGCGTTAATTTATACTCTATAGAGATGTCCTTGGGACAGTCACAAAAATAGCACACTAAAATGACACAGTAAACAATCACAGCCAAGGATTTTCCTGGTGGGAAATGTAATCTCAAGGTCAACTGATCGGTACATGAAATAAATCCAAAATAAAGTTATTAATCAAGCGAGTTCTAGGGATCTAACATTCCCAACAATCCTCAATCCTCGCTTTCGTTTTCTGACTAAGATAAACTCGTAATAATAATTCAGGCATTTCAAAATGACATGTTCACGTTCATGCGTAACAGCTTAGGACCATGGAAAATCCTCTGCATATCTAGGCTGACTCATTGGTGAGAACAGTGGATCTGATGTAGATGTGTAAGCACAGATCGACAGAGCAAGGCCAACATTTCTCCACATCGTAAACATTTGCAAATCAACACAACTAATTACCAACATTAAGGTCAGAATTTTGAATACAAATGTTAAGACAGTTCTACTGCATGGACCAGAATCTTTTGGAATTACGAAAGCTCCGTTTCAGAAGATAAAAGTGTTCAAAAACAGTAGTCTCGGCATGATACTCTGTATCACTTGGCCAGATACTATCAGCAACAACTAACCGTTTGAGAGAAAAGAAAACCATATTCTAGCTCACGAAGCAAGCAGGAAGAAACTCAGTGGGAGGTCAGCACACACAATCAAGAAGGTACTAATATAAGTCAGAAGACAAGACCTCATTCGGAATCCTCAAAGCCAATGTAAAAGGCTAAGACCAAGAAAGCGCTATCAGTTGAATAGAAACACTAATTATTATAACCAAATATACCGGTGGAGGTCACCGAAAATTTTGTTTATTCGTACTGTTGTACCACACCTTGTTTCTTTGAAGTGGCCATCTTGCTTTTGCTGCTCGTTACCTTTCGCCCGTTCTCTCTGACACGACTTCGGTATTCTTTCAATGTCACGAAATCGCCAACAAATACACATATTTCATCCGGATAATGCCCAAGACTTGAACGTTATTGATTTGTAGACGTGTTCATAGTCCATCAACACCAACCATCATATCTAAAGAACACAAAACGCCGAGAAATTGAGACATAAATGAGATGAATGAAGAACAATTGCATGGAACTACAAGGAAGTTCCAGGACAGAGTAGCTTGTATAAAGCTGGTGAGCGGCCTATCCACCACTGGAGGTATTAGGCGTAGGTAGTTAAATGAGCTTTCAATGATCTACTGAACAACATCATCAGCACCGACCTCAGGTGGAAGTGGAGTGCTCGAATTTCTCAACATACCACTCTTGGTGTTAGGATATTCAGCAAATATACTCAGAAAACTATTTTTGGATGTCTAAATCTATCGGTCAATTCCTACTGGTCCATATTATGGTCATCCTAACTATCAATGTCACAGATTTCAGTGTTGTCTCCTGTTCAACCCAACTGTATAAATGTACATTATCTGTAAAGCTTAATATTCCTTCATTCCTGCTGTACTCAACCTCATAAACAACTTCATCTAACGGTGTTGTGTTCTGATATATTGTAGATTTGTGGACGGTATTCAGGGTCGTATTATAATATTTGAGTGTGCTCAATCGGTAGGATTTCGAATAGCTACGTAGCAGCATTGTAACACTTTGCTTGGCCCGCTGTCCTCGATCTCTATTGGTTATTATTTACCGTTAACATCTGATTATCCGATTTCAAATGCTTCTTGATCATTTTGTTTGCTTTCGGCTCTTTAGATTGGTGAGACGACTAATCAGTAACACTGAGGTAACTCTTATACGCTGGCTACTTCTGTGGTTCATGTTTCCAAAACTATGCTGAGGTCGCTATTCTGTCGAGACACCCGCAACATTCCTACTCAGACGCTTACAGTATGACTTAGAGGCTGGCATTCAATAATAATAATAATAAAAAAACAGTTAGACAGTGAGAATTTTAATCATCAATGTTTTCTTTTTACGAACTCTACTCTTTCGATTTCAACGTACATGAATACAGCTTCTCGCTTCGACTTCTCTTCTATCTACCTGACACTCCACAACTCTTCCTTCCTTTTTGCTGTACCCTTTTATCTGTGGGTTATACTCTTATATTCCCATAATTTACTTTAATTTAAGTGGTCAGTATGGCCCGCTGTCCTCGATCTCTATTGGTTATTATTTACCGTTAACATTTCTTGATCCTATACCAGTCTGTATATTTTCTGACTGGTTGATAAATTCGATCAGTGTCGATATGTTTATTGACAACAGATTGACCTGAATGTTAAGCTCATTAGAATTTTCTAGTAATCTACCCTAGTCATCCTTCTATCCACCACCATCATCACCCCAGAAACCCAATCGATTTGCTTAAAGAGATTATGCTGCTCTGATTACATTTTTACAGATAAAGAAAATTTGAAATAATCACAAACAGACTACGCTAAATACTCAATACTCTGTAAACTTTGCAATCTTACGAATGACAATTGTGGATCGATTCCTAATTGTTTTGATTAACAATTAGTCTGCAGTACGACAGCTAATTTTACGACTATACTTTTGTACTACTTACGATAGTCTTCATTTTATCAGTTAAAGAAATACTACATGCACAAACACTTCACTAACTCGAAAAAATGAATTTCAACACAAGGAAATAAGAAATGCATATTTAAAATTATCTAAACATCTTTATTAACATCAAGAATTGTTATGACAAGCACAGTGTTAATAATAAACAAAGAATAATTTTAAAATCAGAAATCTTCAATTGCCTAACAAAATATATTTTTCAAATACAAAGTCATAGCAAAATTTTTGATTACATATCAATGAGAACTTATAGATAATCAAAAGAAATATAGAAAGGATTAGGTTGTTTGATTCCAGACATCAAAAGTATTTGAGCTGATACAATCAAAAGGAGGATACCTGCAAGAAAGGAAAATTAAAATAATAATTTAACATATTTCATAAACTGAAAATGTGTTGTAATCAGGAATAAATTTGATAGAATTCATCCTGATGATAAGGAGATGTTCATTCGTTACAACATATTCAAGAGGAAATGAATAAGACAACTCACATTCAGTGATTTGCCTCACCTATTATTATTTTCATTTCTAATCCAATTGTGAGGTTATACTATTATAACAAGGAATGTAGAAATGTTGTGCAAATGATAGAATTGTAAACCACGGATAGAACCATGCAATAGAATAATTGATAAAAATTCATGACCGTAAAAAGCATATTCCAATTAAATTTAAACTAGGATATATGTCAAATGATTGCCCTATGGTTTAATAAAATATCATGCTATGTTCAGTGTAGAATAATGAACGAAGGCGAAAAACAAATTGTTATAATGATAGAATCGCTAAAAAAAAACAATTATTAGAAACCTGTTTGATAAATATTTTTTTTCATCCTCGCTGGGAACAATATAAATATCCACCACAGAGCAATGATTGCACACTAGTGCACGAAACAATATGTTCCAGAACGGTGAATCATGGGGATTTCATAAATCGGAATAAACTTCAGTGACCACACAGTAAATACCGAATGAATAAAAGTAGATAGGTAAAAATATTAAATCACAAACAATTTGCAGGTTTCATTGGTTGCAATCGAAATATCAACACCGGAATTTTAGAGAAAAACAAATGGTGAACACTAACATGAGTCCGATTTCCAAAAGATTCACACACGAAAGAAAGGTTAACACGTGATCATTATGTGCAAGACAATGTGAGCAAATGCTAAAATAATTCCAAATCAGTGTTTGATTTTATCAATATAAACGCAGGGATCTTTTGGTGTCTTGTTATTTGTTGAGAGAAAACTGGTGTGAATAGCATCTATATTGATGCCGATTCAATTGTACACAAGGATATTGATCAGTACATTTATTTGCATACTGCTGCTAGTCTCACATCGAAATTATACATTCTGAAATCGAATGATGATGGATTAGGAAATTATCACTTCAACTTATGATGACATGAATCAGTGAATGAAATCAATATCAGCGTTGTATAATCACTTCTGATTGAATGCAACAATCAATGGAAACCCGTTTCACAAATACCGTTTCATCGTCAAACACGTCCATGTGTGTGCGAACTCGATCAACTGTTGACGTGGTATTCGAACGCGATATTTTGATGAACAGAACATATTTGTGTGAATCCGCGATTCACCAATGCATTATCGTTAGCAGAAATCCTGCTACATTCAGTCAAATGGAGACGATCCCGTCAGTATATATGACATTGTTGAGGATACCAACAATTCCACATCAAGTCTCTATCAAAAGGTACTCAAAATGCAGGTATAAAAGTGAACGAAATAAAATGTCACTTGTTCAACTTACAATTCCTTCTTCGAACACTAGGTCGTCGACAGACCAATTCTGAAGAATAAGAGAAGACGAGTGTTGCAAAACTCAAATAGATGAGATCCAAATCTCGCTATCTAATTTCATTGGACATGAGGATAAGTCGTATGACGACTGCTGTGAATTCGCAAAGACATCTCGTCGGATTGACAAACATTCCGTGACAAAGGCAAGCAATACAGCTGTCGGACAAAATAATGATAATCTATCGGAACCAAACAACTCATATTTCAGTGATGGGTCTTAACAATATAAATGTGCAGTTCTATTGGCGTTTCGTTATTTGTTGAGAGAAAACTGGTGTGAATAGCATCTACGTTTAACTGTTTGCAACCAGTGTGCGCATCTACAATCCGCCAGGCTGGAATCGAACCTCAGACATTCGGTCTCACATACGAATGTATAACCATCAGAACACTGAGTCTGAATGCTATAGTTCAATCTGTGACTGCGAACAATATTCCAAATGTTATGACATTTTAAATCAATACACTTACTTTTCTCGTTCTTGTTTTGATTACTTCCTGTAGATTTTTCTGGAAAGATGAGTGAGTATATAGAAAAACCAAATTATAACAGATGAACTGTTCCAAGTGTAACTATGCCTAAATCGATGCCGATTCAATTGTACACAGGATATTGATCAGTACATTTATTTGCATACTGCTGCTAGTCTCACATCGAAATTATGCATTCTGAAATTGAATGATGACGGATTAACAAGTTATCACTTGAACTTACTTACGTACTTACTTACTTTCGCCTCTTATCCTCAATGGAGCATAGGCCGCCCACCAGTTTTCTCCAACCAACTCTGTCCTGGGCTTCCCTTTCCGATTCTGTCCAATTTGTGTTCATTCTTCGCACATCTTTGTCTATTTTTCGGCGTAATCTGTTCCTTGGCCTTCCTCTTTTCCTTTTGCCATGTGGTTTCCAAGTGAGGGCTTGTCTTGTAACGCAGTTAGGTGCTTTTCGTAATGTGTGTCCTATGCACTTCCACTGCTTCTTCCTGACTTCCTCCACCACTGGAATCTGGTTTTTTCTCTCACACAGTACGTTGTTGCTGATAGTGTCTGGTCAAGGAATCCGTAGTGATTTGCGTAGACAACTGTTAATAAACACTTGTATCTTCTGGATGATGCCTTTCGTAGTTCTCCAAGTTTCCACTCCATACAGTAGAACTGTCTTGACATTTGTATTGAAAATCATGAATTTGGTGTTGATTGATAGTTGTTTGGAGTTGCAGATATTTTTGAATTGTAGAAATACAGCCCTTGCATTGCTGATCCGCGCCCCACAACAACTGCATCGGATCCACCTTGGGTGTCGATGATGCTGCCCAGATATGTAAAGGTGTAACTGTCCTCCAAAGCAACTCCATCAAGAGTAATTTGGTTGCTGCATGTCGTGTTGCACTGACGAATTTAGCATTTCGATTAAATATGATGAGGAATGTTGCTGCACAAAGCATATGCAGATTTCCGTCGCTACTATCGAACTAACAAAAGAGCAGGGTCAAAAAAAATATTACCAAGAGTGGGCTGAATCTTATTATAGAAAGCTACAGAAAGTAAAACAGGTGAACACATGATGATCAGATGGTTAACCGAAAAATCAATAGCACATAGCTTCTTTCACTACTTACCTGATGTCATGACTGCGATTGGTGTGCTAGTTTGATCAGTAATCGTTGTCAATTGGTTTGGTTGTTCAGGTTTCTTTACTTCTTCAATAGTTTCTTGTCCAGTTTGCTCAGTCTTAACACTCTCGTCTGATTCATTGAAAAATACCATCATGACAATGAAATTTGTAACGGCTTAACAATTATTTCATTCACAAATCTACAGTGTATGTAAACATTATCAATCATTCAAATAAATGCGAAAAATTGGCAAAGAAAGGCAAATGTGGTGACTCTGATTCCGACAAGATTCACACACGAAACGTAGGTGAATAGATGATGATTACATAGGAGAAGAACTTTTGTCAAATGCATGATATATTCCTCCCTAATTTCAGTCGTTTATCTAATCAATATCTTTCAATTTGGAAGGATTTTCGATTGGCGCTTTGTTTTCAGTATTCTGTTCATTTTAGAAGAAATCTAGTTTAACTCTCTCTCAATATCTTTGTGAGTTTTATCTTTGAAACATGAATCCTCGTTATATCAAATGTACTCACAGGCATATCACATATGCTTCTCTCACTCTTTTTTCATTGATCATTTCCACTATTTTTGTTTGTGGTTCATTTTTCCTGTCCATAGTAATCTCATCCGTTTGATTGTAAAATGTTATCATAACAATTACACTTTCAACATTGAATGAGTCATAGTTACAATGCTTCAGTCTCTTCACAACATCAATCCATTGTTCATTTGTTTCGGATACACCGAATATCTAATCTTGAATAAATACGTCTGTTTGATTTGCATTGAATACTTGAATTTCACATTTCATCTCCTAATAAATTCGTCTGTCAGAATTCTGTTTTCCTACACATTATGACCAGGTATCTTAATAATCAATCAAGATGTTTTATTCTCTACATGGATTTGATCAATTCGGTTTTCTATACTACATTCTTGTCAGCCAATTAGTATATCTTTTTCACTATATAAACGAATGTAAGGTGTCTACCATTAATTCTTCAATCAATTGTGTATAAATATTGTGTTCATCTTACATGTTCGCACGCATTCAGGGTAGTAGACATAATCTTTAACTTGAAAATAAACAAACAAGTGTTTGATTGATGATTTCGAATGTGTAAAAACACTGATCTCCATAATTCTAATTGAAAATATCATAAAATGTGCTCACTAGTGACTACTAGCTTCGTGAGGAAATTCTCGTAATTCTTCTAATGAGAAGACATGACCAGTGGAGTTCAACGCTGTCGAGGGTTTCGACAGTAACTACCAAAGGCAAATGGGTGAGGTCGCTCAAAATCCATAGATCAATCAGAATTAAACATTAACACCGTTGGATGCTGGCCAGCTCAGTGGTTCAGAGTTTGAGCGTACACGCACAATACCTAAGGTCCTGGGTTCGAATCCTGCGAGGTGCAGGAGTTGTGGATGCGCACTTCTAATGAGTCTCATACCAGGACGAAACGTCGGTCCAGTGCTTCCAGGTTTCTAATGCTATGGTCTAACAATGATTGATTGATTATTTAAAATGATGCATTAATTTATATCACTTACTATAATCCGGAACTTCATATACTGTAAAATTGAAAAAAAAACACATTCACACACATATTAGGCTTGAAGAATTCCATTACATAGAACAACATATTCATGGAATGATACATTTAGTTGCGCAAATAAGAATTCCAACTATTAGAGAAACGGAAAATCCTGATAAACAATGTTTCACTTACATAGACTTTGAGACTGGACGTAAACTATGAACATTGACATGATGGCCAACAACAACAACAACAACCAAGAATTGTTCATTCTTATTTATTGAGTGAATTAACACTGAGTTGTCACACTGTAAACTGATTTTTGTTAGGTGCTTATATATATGAATGTTGAATAGTTGACCTTGAGCGTTACTGTCTATGTGTAAGTCTGGAGTCCAATGTTTGGAAGAATCCAAGGTAAATAACTGATTAGCCACCAGTGATAGTAGATTATTATTAGCAGTGTAAGTGTCATAGGCATGATAAAACAAAGGGTGGAAGTAGTAGTAGTAGTAGTGGTAGTAGTAGTAGTAGTGGTAGTAGTAGTAGTAGTAGTAGTAGTAGTAGTAGTAGTAGTAGTAGTAGTAGTAGTAGTAGTAGTAGTAGTAGTAGTAGTAGTAGTAGTAGTAGTAGTAGTAGTAGTAGTAGTAGTAGTAGTAGTAGTAGTAGTAGTAGTAGTAGTAGTAGTAGTAGTAGTAGTAGTAGTAGTAGTAGTAGTAGTAGTAGTAGTAGTAGTAGTAGTAGTAGTAGTAGTAGTAGTAGTAGTAGTAGTAGTAGTAGTAGTAGTAGTAGTAGTAGTAGTAGTAGTAGTAGTAGTAGTAGTAGTAGTAGTAGTAGTAGTTTAATAAACGCAGATGATAAGAACAATTCTTTCCTGACTTGGTGATGCAAATGGTTTATTGTTACAACAAAACGGTATGTTGAATGCATTCCTACAATTCGTCACTTACTTACTAACTTACTTACGCCTGTTACCCCAAATGGAGTATAGGCCGCCCACCAGTTTTCTCCAACCAACTCTGTCCTGGGCTTCCTTCTCAAGTTCTATCCAATTTGTGTTCATTCCTCTCATATCTTTCTCTATTTCTCGACGTAGTGTGTTCCTTGGCCTTCCTCTTTTCCTTTTGCCTTGAAGGTTCCATGTGAGGTCTTGTCTTGTGCCGCAGTTAGGCGCTTTTTGTAGTGTATGTCCTATCCACTTCCACCGCATCATCTTGATTTCCTCCACCACTGAAATCTGATTTGTTCTGTCCCACAGTATGTTGTTGCTGAAGGTACAGTTGGTCACATCTTTACATCATTCTTCAAATTTCACTTATCCCAAATAATTTCATTTCTGCTCAATTTTACTGGTGTTTATTCATAGGATATTCATTTCCATTATTCATTATCTATTTTTTTAAAGTTTCAATATTTTGTTTGAAACAATTAAATCACTTAGTTATGGTAGTTGAGTGAATAAATGAATTTTTTCTATCCAGAAAAAAGTAAGAGTATGTACGAATGATCATTTAAAACAGATTCACTGTTTAACAATGGCCTTGACAGTTTTACGTTGTGTTGCGCAAGATTTTCAAAATTCCCCCAATAAAATTATCTGATTATCTTCAAACTTATTCACATTAGTACAATTAGAATTCCAGTTTGAAATCAGTAATTTAGTTGCAAGAAGTTGAGATGTAAATAATTGTCTTTTACTAATTCACTTGTAAAGCAAAATTATATATATATGTTCATTTTAATACTACGTATGATAAATTATTCCTGTACAGGTATAATCAGTGACAGCCAAAAATTGTTTTTACGCACTGACCAGATGATTAGAAATTTGTAGAAAGGGGCAATTATACTTAATCATTGTATTGAGATTCACAATTTTCAAATGTTTCAAAAGATCACTCATGATTTAAAATGTTATGAATGCAAGTTCCATGTCATTTTAGACTCATCAAAATTCATCTTTATACTTATAATGCTTATAATTTGATAGTGATCAGCACAGAATACACGCATACCAAACCAGGAGGTACACATGCTCGTTTGAAAAAAAAATTCGTTGACAACTGGATTATATGAATGATCCGATACTCAGACAGGTTCATGATGATATGATTAAATTTCAAATTACTATTCAGACAGTGATTTTTATACTCAAATTTAGAAACTAGAAACATTTTAAAAAATGAACATGCAAAGTAAACCGACATTACTAAAATTACTTTGTTACTATTATTATTACACA